AGATTTCATAAGCTTAGGAGGAACAACAACATTACAGACATATTGGGTTCTTATAAAAAATCTCTTAAAACAGCTGACAAAAATTCAATATAATACATAACGCTATCAAAGAAAGTGCTATGTTAAGAAAAATGTTATAATCTCAAGTCATTAAATAGAATAAGTAATGTAGTTCTATAGACAACATAAATAGTCAAAAAGTAAAAATTAAAATATCTCTGAAAGAATGTTCTTAAATGATACTAAAAAAATACGGCTTTATACCCCAGAAGTATCTGAATTGAAGGCAGACTTTAGGAACTTACTATGTAAACAAGCCTGAACTCTGGAAAACAGTTCATAAATTCCTATTATGTGTTCACATTTAACAATATTAAAGAAGAGTGCAAAGCTCCCTCCCCCCAACACTGAGTACGCTTATTGTATAGAAACATAAGATGGGTTCACGCATTTCTGGCTATACCAAGAAATACAGTTACCTTCGCTCACAGCTTAGTGTATTGGTAAAAGATTACCAATGTTAGAACACTTTCACGTGTGGGTGAATACAAAAAGTCACATTCTGGAAGAATTGAGGCATAAATTTAGAGTGTATTTTATAAGACAATAAAAACATTTAAATCACTTGGCTTTAAAAGGAATCGAAATCCAAAGATGATTAGATCCAGTCTACTCTTTTACCAGAAATACACACATGTATAGTGTTTTGATTTATGCAAACAGGAAAACACTGAGCAAAAAGAACACTGAAAGAGAAAACATACCTAAGATTTAACAGGCAAAAATAATAGAATTCATGGGATGAAGCATCTCTGTAATGCATGCCGTACAGAATTAATTGCAGGGCTGAGTTCTTCAGAATGAGAATTTTAAAGGATAACCCATTGACCCGATTGTTCTGGTGTGACAAAGTTTGGAGGAATAGCACAGTTTTTGACTCCTTTCATATGTGGAGTCCCATAGTCTGCAATTATTGCAGACAGGGTCTAAATTTTTTGAAATGCCAGAATCACCAACAGTATACGTGGGCAATGTGTATCATATCTTTGAACCTGGGGCCTTTTCAATCCTTTTCAGCAATCCCGTCCTCCACATTAAACAAAAACATGTATGTGGCTATAGCAATGGGATAGTTTTGATGTAAGACCATGCAGTGAAACAAGCTCAGAATATTTTAAAAATCCCTAGCAGCAGAGAGTGAAAATCAAGAAATTTATTAAAAATCTTCTTTGAAAAATACTTTTGTATATTAGCCCATTTCCACTATCATTTCATCAACCACAGCAGATTCTAGAATGTAGTCTACAAGGAGCCCAACGGGTAAGGGACGGTGTGTCGACAAATGACGCTAAGGTTCTTCCCAGATCTGAACCTCAAAAAACGAGCTCAAAGCAATGTAGTAGCTCTAATAACAGAGTAGAAGAAAAAAGACAGTCTCTAAAACAAGAGTGTATAATTACTTAGCACTGGAGCCAGAAGGCAAAGCCCAATGCGTTTCAGAAACTAGGAACGATTAGTTAAATGAGACTGGTGTAATATTGTTGAGTAGAAAGTCTTTAAGACAGACAAAACAGAAATCATTAATTTGGGGGAGAATTTTTTTGGTGGCTAAGTTGTTTAACCTAAAAATAAAGATTCGATAATAAAAGTTACAAATACAGGTTTCCTCACTTGGCAGGCCATTTCCAATAATAACCATATTATATATCACCTTTCTGTTGTGGTAAGTTACTATGTCAATGTCTGGTAAGGCTTTATCTTGTTACCCACTGTCATTTCTCTGATTTTAGAGGGATTAACCAACCAATTCTTGCTAAACTATAGGCACATGCACACAAAAAAGTGAGTCTTGGTGAACGCAGGATGTCTAGTAAGCCTCAGGTTATCTTCAGTCTTCACACTCTTGACGGTCCAGGAATGATGCGCGAGTTTAGGTTGGTTCTAGGATAGGCCCAGGGGCCTGGTTTGATCTGGGATCCCTGGGACCATACCTAGAACAAACCCAAACAAAACCAAATGCCTTGGGAGTGCTTTCAGCTCGGGCAGACTTCTGGGCTTTTCACTTGTATGGACCTCCAGGGCTGTGCAAGGACCATATGCCAATCTTTAAGGAATAGGTGTAACATTTCTGGAGCTTTCTGTATGTTGCCAGATGCTAGTACTGTGCCTGAGTAAGCATTACTTAAGTCATAGTATGAACAGAAGGTACTACAGGCTGGTGTAATAAAAGTGCAGAAAATACTGATTTAGAAATGGAGTTAATTTAGGAATTTACCTGGGAGGGAAAAGGAGTATGTAATTTCTTAGGATATCATAAAAGAATAAACTTAGAAAAGACATTTTTTAGTTTTAGAAAAAAATGTTCAATGATAACATAAACTAATTTTAGGTAGCCAACAGTTAGGAAATCCTACAAAAGTGAAAAATCTCAAGTCCAAAATAGTAATATTATCCCTTATTTTGAGAAACTCTTAAAATGCAAATATGAGAGGAAATATCTCTTTCTACAATAATATTTCATAGACTACCCACTTTTAAAGTGTAGTCAGAGGTATATACAACTTAAATACTGTCGTATTGCAATAACATGCTTGATATGTGCCAAATGAAATTCAGTAAATGCGAATGAAAAAAAAAACCTAATTTAATTGCTGACAGTTAATGTATTAAAATATAGCATTAAAATACCATATGCATTTTAATTTATCACACATTTTAGAATATCTATAAAATCAACTCCTTATTCATACTTTTTGTATATGTGAATCCTGGATTCACCCTTTTTTTGGTTTACGGCAATTACACTGAATAGAATAACTATTATCCCACAACTACACTCACAGAGAATTTTTCTCCTTGTACCACCAACCTGAGTTTGGCATCATGACTCTCTATCCTGTAATGGCACTCTCAGCTCAAGAACTGTTTTGGATTATGTATTTTTAAAAAATGAATATTGTATCATAATTCTCTTCCAGTAACATGAAAGCTATGAGGCACGGCCATAACGGAAGTACTGATTTTAACATGACTACTAAAACACAATTGGCCTGCTGGTAAAGCTAAGCCGTTAAATGCTAAAATATCCCCTCTAGACAGATTTGAATTTTACTTACAAACATTATAACATGCAAATTTCATGTTTATTTTTCATTTAAGAGAAAAATCATCATGCTTGATTACTTAACATATTTAATGATAATTTAAACATGCAAAATATAGAATGACAGTAGGAATTTAGTAATTCAAATATCTGTCAGTATCATTATATCTAACACTGATAACTTTTGGCAAGATTTTACCACACAATTAATTGAATGAAAATTAAGATATTGTTTTCTTATTTTCCAGGGCTCAACCCACTTCATGTTTAGGAAATGAAGATACACTTCTCTGAAAACAAAACCAAAACAATAAAAAATCGCCTCACCAAAGAAATTCTTAGCAGCATGTGATATCCAATTCAAAAAGAAAGTACTGTAGAAAACGCTAATTTCAGTGGACTGGTTTTAATAGGAACCAAAAAAATTAGAGAGACTGAGAAGGTAACATATAAAAACAAAATGCTTCCTGTTGTACAATGAAATCTCTTCTATTTTGAGAGCAGGTATCTATTCTAGTTAACTTCATTTATTTTTAAGATGGCAATGAAATGGGTGCTAAAGTAACAGATGTCACAAAATCCATGTGCTTAAGTATAATCCAGTTAGGTTTTTTTTTTGGTCTTTACTGAATCAATTTACTCTTATTTTATACATTATTCTAGCAGTCTCAGTCACCTTGTTTTCAAAACCCAAGCCAACTAGAAGGAGCATTATGAGGATGGAGAAAGGCTATTGCTGCAGGCACATTTAAGCAAGCAGTAATATAAACTGGAGGAATTAGAGCTATTAAAAAACAAGGCAAGTAAATGAAAAAGGCAAAGCAGAATGGAGTCATTTAGTAAAGGACATATAGCTCTCGATGCCTAATCTATCACATTATAATTAAAAACTATTACTAATAATAACCATTTTGACCTCAACAAAGATTAAAATATATTTCATATACATTTAAGAAGATAGCAATGGATATTAAGTTTCAAAAAGATTTCCTTCAAAACTTATTCCAAAAAATTTCAATGCTTAGTTTAAGCTCCATAGAAAACCGGGGTATCTGTAATGACTCATTCTCCCAAAATTCAGTTACTCAGTTCTTACTAAATTAGCCATGCATGTTTAGTCTCAAACCGATAGTTCTAAAATATAAATCTTGGCAAACAGAGTTGAAAATACATTTACAAGTCTGAATACTATACTAGGAACAATTAAGAACAAAATGTTTAACATTTCCCTAAACCATACATAATGATTCACACAATGATAGTCCAATTTTATTCTATAGCCGAATTCATTAATGGAGAGTCCTAGAAACATCAATATATAAAAACTGAATACTTCAAATATATGGCAATCACATATACAACCAAATGTTCTTTTAGCAAGTTCTCCATAAAGAACTAAGAAGCAAACAAAAGTATGCTAAGCAGCCAGATAGGTCCCACAGAGTCCATGCACTTCATGGAGAGCAAAGCCCCTTAGCCTTCTTTCAGTCTACTTACTCTTATTTTAGACACAATTCTAGCAAGCTTGGCAATCTGGTTTCTCAGTCCACAGCAGATTAGAAGCAGCAAATTAGGGGCCTAGTGCAGGAGGCAGGCACACAAGACAGGAGCAAAAAGTGACAGCTGATTATAAGGGAAGACAGAGAAACTGTGAAAAACAGACATAACTCAGAAAGCAGAGCAATGCGGAATCACGTGGTAAAGGGGCATTACAGATCTCAGTAGCCCCTGAGGGTGAATTTCTGCTTATCACCCCATCATAGGAACTGAGGTTCTTACAGATGACAAAGGTAAAATTACATCCTAAATATTCTAGAAAAAGTGAAGTAGAAAGTACATTTTAAAAATTTCCTACTATACTGTTAAAAATATTTACTGATAAGATAGATTTGCCTCCGTTACCTGAAAAATTAACTTATACAAGTTAGTCATCCATTAATGATTACAGATAAATCAACTGTTACTCTACCTAGGGCATTTCCCCATAGTTTCTCCTCTAAAATATTTGTCACTTCATCTTCTAAAATAAATTGCACAGGTATGCCTTTTTAAATATAACTGGGAGAACAGATCAACCTTTATGCTTTGTCTGGTTGTCATTCATGGCATGATACCTACTTTAGTTCAAATAATGAGCTGGCTGAGCTACACCAAAGTCTTACGGTATTTAGTTCTTGTTTCCTTGTTTTGTTTAGGTATAGAAACTATATACTACGATTAAACCAATCAATTGAACTTTTCTTCCCACATGATTTCTAATAATTTATCAAAATATTTCATATTTTACATTACTGATGGTGTATAAGTAAAAGTCACCAGAGTGAAATGTCTTCTAGGATCCCTTTGGGCTAACAGTCTATTGATTTATAATTTTGTGAAATGTATCAGAACTTGACTCTATGCTTTAATAAAAAAAAGCGGTAACACTTTTATTATGAGAACCATAATATCACTATTTTTTAAGAAGATCAAGTTTTTAATTTTTGACCTATTTTACTAACATTTGTAACAAGATCTTGTTTTTTAGTCTCAAAGGTTTTATTTTTAAGTCTTTCTGAGAAGTCAGGAATCACAAACGTCATTAAGTAATCTAGAGGATTTGGGTTTTGCTGGAAAAATTCCCCGTAATGTTATTAAGTCAGCTGCACCCATAGCTTTTAATGATGGAGCTGTGATTTAAGCTCAGGCCTACCCTTCTGCATTAAACCCTTAAACCAATATTCTTAAATTTCCTTACTGATTTGCCTTAAGTGTGTTCCTCTTGACTTGCTTGTCTCCGATAACTTCGTAAACCAAATGAGTCAATGTATCATTTCCTAATGAAATATATTCAGATGCTGTTAAGTACAATTAGATTTAATGAGGACTTAAGTCAGAAAATAGAGACAACTTGAGAAAATAAGCAGAAGACCACAACTCAAAGACCAGCAAGAGTCTGGCACTAGACAGGCCAGATATGTAGTTTTAATGAGAGCTGAAAAAAGAGAATTTAAGATATAATTGTCACCAGGGCACTTATTGCCATGACTTTCCTAACTATAGATACAAAATTCTGTCTTCAAGGCTGACCTCAACAGCTTTTTTCATGCATTTTTACATTAAGTACTCGGTTTAAAACAAACAATGGAAATGTTCATATTAAAAGCTGTCAGGATGTTACTCGTAACAAGAATTATCCTGTCAAAATACCACTGTAAAATTTGGAAAGCAATTTTTCCAAACAATTACAAATTTTGTCCAGAAAATATTTTCCCCAGAGAGTTCCTTTTGGATGCGGGATGGCAGCCATTAAAATTAGTCAAAAGCCTGATAAGATAAAGTGAAATATTTTTAGAAAAGTAACAAATAAGAATACCTACTAATATTACATTGGCCTGTTTTATTTCTTAAGGTATTCATGGCAAGAAGCCTAAAGTCCAACACAGAGGTTCTTAGATTTTACTGGGCATAACATCATGTAGGTCTTATTCCAAAATGACCGACTAAGAATAATTGGGAGGATGGCCCTTACATCTGCATTTTAAAAATAAGACTTCCAATTTATTTTAATATAGCACCCCCGCCCCCATGGAAAACAGAACACTGACTTATAGACTACTGTAAAAGAAAATTAGGAATTTTCACAGGAAAGATAATATTTTACCTTGGAAATATTTTAAAAGGTACAAGAAAATTTGAAAACTACACACACCAAAAAAACATTCAAGTTCCGAGATCATTATATAATGATTTCAGCAAGTAGAATTTTCATTGAACTAAGCAACAACTAGAGAATAAAACAGATCAGACTGGAAGATTAGAAATTCTTGATTAAAATAAACCTTTCAAAATTAAAAAGTATTACTTTAGAGAGCACTGACTAAAGTTGATAAAATATTATGAAGACATTTTTTCCAAAATGGTGTAATAAAAAAATTAAAAATTATTAAGCTCTAATTCTTTCTGTGTAATTTTATAGATTAAAAGAAAGATTACCAAGTTTTTCCTTAATTACTTCTTCCAAATCCAAGGAGTTGGCAAACTAAATAATTTAAACAAAGAAAATAAACTCTAAATGGTATTATTTCTAAGTTGTAAACTAGGCCCATTCTTAAGAATTACTCCTAAGAGCTTACTTATGGATAACTCACAGAAGTTTTGGCAACTGGCAGAATCACTTATAGTACAAAGGATCTCTACTGTTCATACAAAGAAGAAACAAGTTTTTCTTCAGCATAAAAAATAGATTTCCTTAGATTATTGAAAAAAAAAACAAACCCTGTGATTTATGAAAATTTACCCAGTCGAAGCACTAAGTAGTAGGAGGTTCGAATGTGTTTCTTAACTCTAAAGATGATCTATATTGATCATGTTAACTTTTTTTAGTAGGGCAGCAGCATAAATTGAGTTATCCCTACATTTCTCCCAAATAACACCTATAAACTATGTCAGTACATGGAAGCTATGGGTTTCAAAAAACAATATCCTCCTGAAAATATTACTCTTTGAAAAATGTAATCATGACACAAAACAAAACAATACAAAGGAGACTGGAAAATTTGGAAAGCAACCTCTTTTAAGAGGTAGTTTGTAAATGAAGTATTAAGAGACAAGGATGCTTTCCAGGAAAGTGACAGGATATTTCCAGGATCTTAGGTGGAGAGGGGACAGCCTAAAGTAAGAAATCAGCCTGGTGGCCTGTTTATGGTAAGGACACCTATTATCTCTAGACAAACTGATAGAACTTACTGCAAAGTTAGGGGTGAGGCCTTGGACTTTGACATTAGCTTTTCTAGTTGCAACAAAAACAGAAAAAGATAAACACAAAAATTTAAAAGGGTGCTTCTTAAAATGGTACATTGTTTTTCTTTATCATTAGGAAATCTTAAAATTAACTACTGAATACACATGAACAGGGAAACACAAGAAACATGTCATAACTCAAGTACTTTTAGAATTGTTTTCTAGTTCCAAACCCCAATACACATCAGTTGCATGAACACTTTTTTTTTTTTTTTAAATTCAGGACCTGTATCTTTAAGACTTGGTAGAAACAAAAATAAAATACAAACAACTTGTTATTAACATAATAGCTGCAGTTATTAATTGTGAGAAAACTGTATAAAGGACTCATACTAAATGTTAATATTCTTGCAACAGAATAATCCCAGTCATTTTATGGCAGCAAATTCTGGCAAGAAATGGTAAAATTCATTTGTTATGAAAAGTACTTAAAGAATTTTTGAGGCCGATCAGTTGTGCTGTGAATAAAACAGCAGTTTATTCAAAAGAGCCCTTACCTTTCTCTCATTTTCCTAAAAGATCTGCCATACAGGTTACTACTACTTTCAGATCAGTTGTTCACACCAGGGTCCTTCCTGTAAATTCACATCTTAGCTTTATATAAAGTAAACTTACACTCATTTTCCCTTTCCAGCGGAGTATCTAGTCTTGAAGCTAAAAAACACTTTCATAAAAGGAACAATTTAAAATCCTTCATGTAAATCTTGGTTCTTACTTTTCTTCTACCTCATTTTTACTTTCTTGTATTAGTTGTTCTTCCTCCTCATCACCAAAAGTCTGTTCCTGCATAGTGGTAAAGGAGAGAGATCGAGCAGCCACTTCGGCAGCGAGGCCAGCAGTGAAGCTAAAATCCGGTGACAGCTGTAGCCGCGCCAGCCGCTGCTTAATGGAGGGCTGGAATGAGTCCCTGGGCACTGGATGGGCATCGGTCAGGTCACCAGCATGTGCCTGCTCAGAGTCATCCTCACTTTCACATTGGTAACACATCCTTTCTTCAGCTCCTTGCAGGGAGCCTTCATTTGTAGAATTGTCTTTATTTTTACCATCTAGAGGGTTTTCACATAAATGCTCAGTCCTACTACATATTTCCTTGTCAGTTATGGAGGGTTTACTATTTCCTTCTTCATTATCATTTTTACCAACTTCCCCCACATCTGAATCCATTGATGGTTCTGAATTACTTATGGGCTCCACTGGGTCTACAGGAGACAAGGATTTCAACACAGCTTTAAAGAGGGAAAAAAAGCAAAAAGAAAGAAAGAAAAATAATAACTAAGGACCCAATAATAAACTTTAATTTAAACTTCCAGTAGGTTTTTTTTCTTATAAAGAATAAAGGCTAAATAAAACTTTCTAGTAAAATCAATATAAATTTATAAATACAGAGAACATTTTAAGAAATAAAATGCCTAAGAAATAAAATGAGATGGGGCTTTGATGAAGATTAAAACACCTCATATATTCTCTCATTCAGAATATTAAAGCAGTGGTTCTTGAAGTGTGGTCTCCAAGCCAAATGGCATCATCTAGGAATGTGGTAGAAATGAAAATTCTCAGGCCCCACCCCAGACCAACTGAACTGGAAAATGTCCCATTTCCATGGGATTCCCAGCCATGTTTTACGAGCCTCCCACTTTGTTCTGATGCATACTGAAATTTGAGGACCACTACATTAGAGAATAAGCAGCATGGTTTTCACTGAAAATGTGTCAGATAAAAAGCTTAAATAATCCAGATAATAATCATATTTTCTATACATATATATTTATAAGTTAAAACAGCATGAAAAAAAATGCAATATACAATTCAACTCACTGGCCAACCACCTAACAAAACCCTGATGAAAGTAAAGCCATAACCGCTACACATTTTGTAATGTCACAGAAAAATATATAAAGAAATAAAATCTTCATTCAAGACCAACTACAGTACAAAGCATAATACATAAATATAATATATATCCATACGGCAGAAGTTGTCCTTTCAAGGAAAATGAAGTTTTATTTAGCCCCTCTTGATGTTAGTAGGCAGTGGGTTGCTTGCTAGGCAGTCTCTCCTCCCAGTATGAGGGGTTAGTACAATACAATATACACATTATGAAGCAAGGCAGAAGAAAAAAAAGTACGTCTTGAAGATCTGGCGTTTATTTAAAAGTAATTTTGTAAAAAGTGTCCATTTTCAAGAAACAGATCCCTAAGCTGCAGTAACTCCACTAGAGAAGCAGCGACAACAGAAAAAAAAAAAAAAATGGTCACAGCAGGTTCCAGTGTAGAATTTCCCTCTCTAATTCCATTCGGACTTTACCCCTGTAGGCAGAGATGAAAACAACTCTGGAAGATGTACTGAAAAATTTCATGGGAAAAGCATTTTATGGTATCAGCAGCTTTTATTTTCACAAACTATGTCAGCATTATTGCCTTTTCAAATGTAAACTATCAAAACCACATACCTGAAAGAGAAACACATTTCTCTCAGTGTTCTATCTTTGTCCATAATGTCAATAGGATAATTTTAAAGATACATGAAGAAAATACTAAACAATAAAAAAAGGATACAAGTTTATATATAAAATGCTATTTTCAATCTTCACGTGCACTTTTAATCTATAAATCTGCTGGTTTAAAAAAATGCAACTTATATTAGAAGTTGATTGATATTCCTGATTGTTACTAATTAAATGGGGTGGGGGGATCTAACCCATGTAATGGGTCAACTGACAAGGGTGTTAACGCTCTGCTAGAACATACTAAGCCTCCAGGAGAGTAGGGATTTTTGTCTCCTGATTTATGTGCTAGGGATATACAACAATAAACAGTGTATTAAGAACTACTTGTTGAATAAATAGTTTGCTGAACGAATACTGTAGAGGATAATAAAGCCCTTATTTAAGGAGACTGTAATTACAGAGACAAAAAAATACTGAAATGGATAGAAAACAATAGCGCCTGAAACACAATACTCTAAACCTCTGATTTATGTAGGCCCAATATGTAAACAAGGAGGTTACAGGAATATTTTTACTGTGGCTTCTAGGAAGATCCTAATCTTCTATACACTTTGCCGCTCAGGACTTGCTTTCCTGTCACTACAGCGCCCCTCTGGCGTGAGGGTCTGTAGTGGTGGGACAGGTGGCAGAGCTAGGGCCATCAGAGGGGGATTCACAGGGGAGACTGGTAGACAGGGCAGCTTGGGGAAGATAAATTTTTGGTAAAGGGATCAGCATGAATGTTTTTCATGAATAAAAACAGCAGATTTGTGGAACCATAGTCTAATTAGATAAGTCTAACTAGAGGAAGATATCTATATTAGAAATACTGGGAAATTGGATATGAAGGACTCATTTAATAAAAGGCTGAAGACCAGGAAAAGAAGTTAAGATTTAAAACAATAATAAAGGGGCACCACTGTTTTTAAGATAGAGAGCCATTATCAATATGTTGTCTGAGAAAAATCTGGATAGAAGCTACCTCAGAAGCTCAGAAGCTATCTCTAAGGGCAGCTTAGAAAAAAAAGGTATTGAAAATGGAAGTCAGCTAAAAGGCTATTATACATGAGCTTAATCTAACGAGGACCTGGGCTATAAAAGAGGCCAATGGGAAGAAAGAGGAAGGATAAAATCAAGAAGTGTACATTTGGACAAGGGAGAATGAGAATGGTAGGGCTCCTAAGAGAAGAAAAGAGAACCCTGAGGAACTTTCCAGAAGTTTTTCAAATGAAAAAGAGAAAGGGAAAAGAAGGCAATTGACTTTGAGGCTCTACATACTCTAAAATTGAAGTCCCACTCTACCTTCTTAGAAATCTATAGGAATTAATTCTTCATCTAGGAATTAGCTAGTTTAATATTGTGAGTTACTAAGCTTCCTCTGATTCCCTTCTCCACCTGAACTACTTTAGTTGAAGTAGTTCAACTACAGAACAGTGGGAAACATAAAGGAGATGAAGGCTAATCTAAGGTATTACCAGTTATCTAACTGTGTCTAAATCCAAGTATGGAGACAGTGTGTACAGACCCACCTCCTCTCCTCCCATCTACTCAGGTGCTCAAATCATTGAGTGATCTTAATGATGTAGCTAAGTGGCCTAGGTCTTAATTTATTTGTTCCAACAGTGAACACAATTATTTATTTTGTGTTTCACTGAGGTAGTTATAATATCAACATAAAGAGAACAGAGTTTAGAATCTCATTAGTGAAATTGGAAAACACTCTAATTTATTTAACTCACTGCCCACTGCAAAACAAATTTAGTCAAAAAATCAAATAACTGATGAAGAGTGTGATTTCATATTCCCAATTTCATTTTATACCCACTCTGTAACTGATTAAATTGATTTTGTGTCTAGAAGTACTATACTTACTGATGGATTCCTTAAATTATAGTCATAAGAATTCTTTTTTTCCCAGATGTTATTTTATTTTTTGATTTAATCTTTATTGTATTTTTTTCCATCACGCTGTAAGAATTCTATAACTAAGATTCACAGTTAAAGAAAAAGGAATCCTCTAAGTTGAAACACCTTTTACTCTGAAGCCAATGCTTACCATGATCACTAAACAGGAGTTGCTTCCACTTCTGCCTTTCTGCCTCTGACGCTTTGAATCCCAGCACAGATTTTAATTCTTGGAGTACCCTCTTGGATTCTTCATGTTCACGCTTCTGTCTCTCTCTATCTTCTTGAGACAAATAATAAAAATCATCCTTTCTGAAATCACTGTCCATATCAATATCATCTACATAAGCTTCTAATTCCTGAAAATGAATAAAAGAAAAAGTACTTTACTTCAAACAGAAAGTCTCCTAGTAGTATTCATTTATTTAATCTCCAAAATTAAAAAAGGAGTACTCTTGGCACAGGTCATTAAAGCACAGTTGGGCAAACAAAGCAAACATGGGTACAAGGAAAACTTAAAAAAACTTAAGTGATACTAAAAAGGGTTGTAAATGAGAAAGTTTAAATGATTTCAATCATTTTTCTATGCTGACACCAGTCTACAGATCTTATCAAGATCACAGTGAATAGCTCTGTCAAAACCAATCAAAATGACCAGGCCTGGTGGTTTGGGGAGGTGGCCCGGTATGTTCGTGATCTTGTGGTAGACATTTGTGGTGCTTTCTGACTTTCCAGTAAGTCTGAACACTACTCCTAGGATTGGGAAACACCTCATCTGTGGTTCTCCACATCACTAAGACAGATGGTAGGATCCCTGCTTACCCAGCCCCCCTTGCAGTTATGGTTCAGGCAAATGACCTTAACCACAATAAGAGCTCATCAAAATCTTGCTGAGCTCTAATAAGATGTACCTGGATCAGATCTGATGCAGTAGTTTGTTATAAAAGAAGTAGGCATCTTGAGGAATCCACTCTGGTAAGAATGGGAGCAGATCAAATTTCCAGAGGCAGAGGTTCTGAAAGTAGCATTGATGGAGCAAGTGGTAATGTCTACACTCAGTGGCTTAGCAGTGATGTTGCTACTGGAACAGTTCTTTTCAGTGATTTTAGCTTTTTACCCAAGGCTGGTCCAAGCCTGGTTATCTGGCCCTCTGAAATATTCTGTCAGGTATCTAATGATTTTTAAAAACTTTGTTTGTTAAACTAAGTAAGGTTGGTCTCCCTTTGCAATTAAGAATATTAAATGGACTATATGACTTAAGGAAAAGTTTTTTAGTGTGTTTAATCACTTTTAAGTGTCTAAGAAGTGGACAATTAGGTATGAATAACAAGAAAATTTACTGGTAGATTCAATGGATAAAAATTCAAGGCACTAAGAACTAACGATTTGATACAAATTTAATACATTAATTGTGATTTTAAGGCTCATTAGAAACATAAACTCAACACTTATTCAACAATTAACCATGTCACTTAACAGAGGTAGGTAAGCTTTGTACATGAAACTCTTCTTTAGGGGGAAAAAGCAATTTTCAGCCTTACCTGCTCCTCAGGGATTGGATCTTTGTCTGCAATGTATAGAGCAGGCTGCATCAAAGGTACCACAGTACAGCGTGGGTTTTCACATGCTATATCAGGTTTGCCTTAAAAAGAAACAGGCAACACAGAAATGAGTGAATATCTAGCAAACAACCAAAATGTCCAACAGTTCCATCACCTCAAATCATTTATTTATGCTGCTCTTTATACCATATTCGTCCCTTCATATCCACCTCTTAGTAACCATTGATATATTTTCTATTCCTATTAAATTTTATTATTTTCAGACTCATATAAATGGAGTCATATAATAGTATGTGGTGATTTAAGCCTGACTTTTTTAAAAAAAATTAATTAATTTATTTTTTCAAATACATTTGTCTCTGCCTACCCCCCACCACTTTCCCTTGCCCCCTCCCTCCCTCCCTCAGCTCTTCCCCTTTGGTTTTGTCCATGAGTCCTTGCTATATGTTCCTTGACTTTCCCCTTCCCTTCCTTTTCCCCCTAAGCCTGACTTCTTTTGATTAGCATAGTGCATTAGAGATTCCTCCGCCTTATTGATCTATTGGTTCATTTCTTTATTGCTGAGTAGTATTCCATTTTATAGATGATGTAACAATTTATCTATTCACCAGTGGAAGGGCACGAGCTTCTTTTAGTTTTTAGTGATTATGAATAAAGGCACTATGAACATTTGTGTATAGGTTTTTGTGTGAATATTAAGTTTTTGTGTCTCTTGGGTAAATATCTAGCAATACTACTACTGAGTCATTTGGTAAGTGTATGCTTAATAGTGGGAAAAATTTTGATGAGTAAAGGATATTTACCTAATCTCAAAGTATTTTCTTCACAAAATAATGATCATGAAAGAGAAGAAAGGCTAAAGGAGAATAAAGATCATGAAAACTAAATGCCATGTGTGATCTGGACATTAAAAAATATTATTGGATCAATCAATGAAATTAGAATGGGGTTGGTAGACTAGATAGCAATATTGCATCCATGTTAATTTTCGGATCTTGATGGTTATTGTGGGTATGTAGGAGAATGTCCATATTTTAAAAAATATATACACATAAGTATTTACAGGTAATGAGGTTTCATGTCTACATCTTACTCTGAAATGGTTCAGAATAATATCACCAAAGGAATTCACATACAGATACATAAATAAGGCCAATGTGAACTAGGGAATCTGGATGAAGGTACTTGGAACCATTGCGATGTTCCTGTAATTTTGAGATAACTTAAAAAAAAAAAGATACAGCTTGCCCTCGCTGGGTGGCTCAGTTGGAGTGTTGTCCCCATACACCAGTAGGATGTGGGTTTGATCCCCTGTTAGGACACTTATAGGAGGCAACTGATTGATGTTTCTCTCTCTCTCTCTCTCTCTAAAATCAATAAGCATGTCTTTAGGTGAGGATTAAAAAAAAAAAAAAAAAAAAAGATACAGCTAACTAAAGCACCTGCATCTTAAAAATTCAAATATTTTATTTAAAGTTGTGCAGCTATGGCCACTATGAGCATGTTAGTGAGAAACATTTGTAAATTACTTCTATTTTAATTCATATGATTATCATGTATGAACAAAAGTGACATACACAGAGCATAATTAAGAAATAGCTTATCACCTGCCCAATGATCTGGAGATGGTTTTAATAATCATGTTTAAGTGAGTGACTAAGATTCAGCATCTCAGAGTATGCCAAGGAGGGGAAGTGGGATGTATCTTTTAACACCAATGGTGTTTCTATTATAGAAAAGGTAGTCAAAAGCTATAGACTTGGGTCATTTCAAAAGTTTAAATGCATAAATATTTGCACCTATTAAAAATCCTCAGCAAATTTATCCTTTGGAGGAAAAATTATTCACTATTTACATTTCAGATAGAAAGGAAATCTATTGGTAATCTATCAGTAATTAGTATGTTAACATTTCCTTTGAAAAAAGTTAATACATTTACTATCTAAGGACTTGTTCAGTGTGTTTAAGACATTAAACAAAGTATTACAGATTTAGCTATAAACAAAACAATGAGTAACAGAATGATAAAACATTAATTATGTTTCGCAAAATACAATTTTTGTACATAAATCTTAACTTCATCATAAAAGTCTAAGGGATAAATATGACACTGGTTTATAGCACAAGTTAAAAAATAGTATGTCAAACACAGTGAAATCAGTCAAAGTATAATATTTGGGTTGTATGAAAGCAGGTTTGTGAAGAATTTCAAGGTTGTCTTTTTACTTAGCAGTACAAGGCACTCCCGTGTTACTATTAAGTGGCACTTAATACAGTTTAGATCCCTAAAAACAAAAACGCAGTGCTGCCTATTATAGCATTTGTATATGACTTCTGAATAACAAAAGTACTTTATCTTAAAAGCAAGACTCAATGTCTGGCTTGTGAATATCAAACTCATTATTGCCCTAACTGGAAAAGAGATTCTGGAAGTTCTAATAATGAATAATATCTATCCCTTCATTTAAGTTTTTTAAAAACTCGGTAGATGATTCAGGGAACTTTCAAATCATATTAATTTTTTTTATTAATAAGAGCGAAGACTTTATATCCAGTGTCAATTTGTACATATAAGTTCCACTTTTTCAGTAAACTAAGTTTTGTCAAGTCAGTTTAATCATGGTGACAAAAAATACACCTAACGAAATCCTACTGGAGTAGAATCTGCACAAGAAGTCTCTCATAGGTACCTTTTTTATCTGTACTTCTTCGTAGCAGTTTGTCCACTTGAGAAATGGCCTCTTCCCAGCAATTGTTGCTTGCTTGAACATGGGGCTCTATCAATTTTAATTTCTGTTCCAGAATTTGATAAGTTTCTGACACTAGTTCTTGTGTTTCCTTAGTACAAACAAGCTTTTCAAGTTCATCTTCAAGAATTATTACCCTGAGTAATAAAGAAAAACAGTTTCACCATTTCTAAAATATAAAATGGAAAACTTATAATTTTCAAGGCTTAATTAAGAAATAAGCTTATAAGATGAAAAATGTTCTAGAGATAGAAGGTGGTGATAGTTGTACAATAATGTGCGTATACTAAATGCCACTGAACTGTACACTTAAAAATGGTTAAATGATAAATTTTGTTATGTGTATTTTACCACATTTTTAAAAAAGCTTATAAACAGTATCGTATTTATTCAACAAATAGTGCTTGCATACACACTAGGCATGAACTGAAAGGACAAGTTAAACCCATCTTCTACTTAGACAAAAATTATAACTGAACCACAGAAATTACACATATATGTAAATATAATACAATATCATAAAAAGTTATGACCAGCATTTTATTTCTATTTTACTGATGAGGTATGAGGTCCAGAGAGTTGAAGAAACTGGCTCAGAGTCATACAGCTGGTACACCGTAAGGCTGGGTTGATTCCAGACACAAAAGTGTAATACCACAGAGATAAAAAGACAGTGTTGTAAGAATTCAGAAGAGGGGGAATTTGCTACCAGCAATGGGTACTGAGAGGGAATGGCTAAGGAAGAGGTACTTTGGAGGTAGTACTGAAGGATGGATAAAATTTGACATGTACAATAGATGAGGAAGGTCACTCCGGATGGAATAAAAGGAAAGGCAACTTATACGGTCTGGCTGAATTGAAGGAAACGGAGTGAGAAATAAAGATAAAAAAAGCAGACTGTAGTCAGTTATGGCAAACCCTTTCTGCAGAGTATTTTATACAGAGTTCAATCTAAGCTGCTATACTCTGAAACCAGTGAAGATTTTTGGTTAAGTGAGAAAGCAAATATATGCCTCAGAGACAATCTACTAGTGGGTACTCTAGAGGAAGGAAGAACAGTTAAAGGGTTAATGCCTTTATATAGGAAAATGAGAGTGGGAAAAGCAAAGGAGACAATAGCGAAGGAGTGAAACAAAACAATTTTTAGATAACACTTTTAAAAGTTGTGTTGTAGCAATGCTGCAGAACAAGAACAAATCAGATATGATAGTTAATTACTGGTATACTCTCCAGTTAAAATATTTTGAAAGGTAATGTAGAATATTTCATTTTTACACAGGAAACATACTTCCTATCATAATCCCACAATCTCTTCCAAAGCCACAAAGCCCCTCCCTTTCCTGTTCCCGTCTCCCCCGTGTGGCGCTTCCCTGAGCCATCTTCTCTCACACTGTATTCCATTATGCCCTGCATATATTTCTGGCTCTACCGCCAAAAATTAATTCTTTAGAGACTCTGGCTTTACCCAATAAACCTTTCCACTGAAATCTGGTTCTCCTCTGATGATAGGCTGCCTTTGCCACCCACTCATGTTGAGACTGCCTGACCTCCCATATTCCCCGAGGCACTCGCGCGCTTTCTTAGAAGGCAGCTACAGACCACTGGAACGTCCCTGCCTCATAGTTTCTTAAGTTTTCCCTATGCCCCAACCTTTACGTCAGCCTTGTATACCTAATGCCAGACTTGAACTGAAGGGTAAAAGCTTATGTTCTCAAAATGTCTTTATGACCTTAATTTCTCATCTTTGTGTACCACATCCTCCTTTACTCTTATAAACTAGCCATTTGATTTTACTGAGACTTCAAGCCCTTTTGACCCATTTTATCTTACAAAACTGATTGTTACCCTCTCCCTTCCACTTCTTCTGTGGTATCTAGCATCAAGTACATAAACTGCAATCATATAAATCCTATCAATTCATTAAATTCCTATGACCTTCCTGGTTACCAACACAACACGAACCCAACCATTCATCCGATCCAGTCCTATACTACAAGCCTCTGGTACAGAAAAAATTTCACCAAAATGATTGCACCCTACATTTTACCAAGACAGAGTACTGGCAAAACCATACAAAATAAAAGATCAACAAATATGGTCCCTACATTTTACTATCCAATCAGGTCCAAAAACTTTGTCCTATGCTACAGGAAAATGTTCAAATCTCCTGAATTTATTTAGAAAAACAGCAATGTACTATTCTTCAACTATATATAACAATGACTTTTAAACTATAAATGACTCCCCCAAATTATAGTACTTACATATCACGTTTCTTTGCTATATTTGTAGCTATAAACCATCCTTCATGCTGCATGTCTCAATTTTGCTTCTTCTTTCTAGCTAGGACACAAGCCAACAACCACAAGGGCATAGGAATGAAGCTTGCTAATCATGGGGACATTTCCTTATATAGCTTCTAAACTTACTCATTCAGTAATGCTTTCAGATGGAGCTGCAAGCTGCGTACTGCTGTGTGAACATTATTCAGTTCTCTTGACTTCTGCTGAGTTTTGGATAAACGCTGGGGTACTGCTTGGTGCTGAGTTTCAAAGTACCGATAGAACTCATAGCTGCGCTTAAGCTCTTCCAAGCAGGCAGAATGAGCATGAGGTAGACCCTGAGTCACATCAGATAAAATACGATGAGGCAAAAGTGCTGAAGTAAGTAAGGGTCCAGGAGGTGCATTAGTTGTAGAAAGTAATAGGGCTAACCGTCTGAAGAACTCTGAACTCTGTGCCACCCAGAGTTGGAACAAAACCTAAAAGAAAAAAAGAACTAGACCAATAAAAAATATTTGCCAACATTCAAAACAAACTACAAATTTAACTTCTGGTTTAAATTTTCCACTTTATCCTAAGTAATTGAATATAGCTAAGCCTGAATTAACTCTAAAATTAGATAAGAATTTTATATCAAATTATGTAGTCCTGACACATGACACCTGGGAACTTATGACCCTAATACAGCAGGACACACCAGTATATAATTTACTACAGCTCTAACCAAGAGGGGAAGTGTTGAGAAAACGAGACACACCTATTAGAAGTAAATGTTGATGATTTAAAAATTTTACACAAAGGAGAAAAGACAGTAGGAATAATAAACCTGTATTAAGTCCAAAGAAACAAGTTATTGATGGATCCAGGGTTTGGAGTTCAAAATTATACCATTATTTTGGCTAGGAAATAGTCAAAAAATAACATAAAAATCAGTTCCAAAGTGTTCATACCTAGGAATGTCTGGCATGAGAAACTATAAAACCCATTCTTGAGAGATACGCCCTGAATTCAGGCAGTAAAGGATTTCTCCAGATACAGTCCTGTTCAAAAGGAGGACAAATCTCCAAAACAAACAAACAAAAAAAACACCAGGAAGCAATCTAGTACAAATAAAGAGTAAGCATACTACAAAAAGGACTGAACCAATTTTGAGTCCAATTTTTCACAGCTAAAACAGTGGACATTTCAGACTGTTTTATTAACTGAATATTAAGATAATTTAATACAAACCTAATTTACCACTGATTTATTTTTTAAAAAAATAAGGCCAAATTTCCAAATTGCTAAAGACAAACCTAGGAATTTTTTAATATAAACAACCTTACCTTGTAAGTCTTATTTAACCATTAAATGTATGACTATAATGACTTTCTAAATTCCTGTATTTGTTCATTCAGCAAGAATTTTTGAACACCTACGATGTAACAGGAACTATTCTAGGTGCTGCCAATAAAGCAGTGAACAAAAGAGAAAAAAAAATCCCTGCCCTAATGGAGCTTATATTCCAGCACGGGGACATTGGATAGGAACAAGTAAAAGACAGTTTCTTGGCTGATGGGTTGTCGGGAAAAATAGAGCAGGGGGGAAGAGCAAGTGTGTATTTATGTGTGCATACATGGGGGAAAGAGGAGGGAGGGACAGAGGTGGAGAGAGGGATGGGGTGGGAGCAGGAGGGTCAACTGTACAGTTTTTTTAGTAGGAGTGTACTTGGCATATCTGAGGAACAACAAAGTCAGTGTGGCTGAGGGGGAGAGTGGTAAGTGAATAAGTCACTAAAGTAACTCTGGTTTTTACTCTAAGGGAAATGGGGAGCAATGGAAGGGTTTGGAGCAGCAGTTTTATGATCTGAATTATGTTTTAATAGCTCATTCTGGAGGCTATGTTGAGAGAAGACAGGGACGTGAGAGAAGTGGAGACCAGTTAGGAGGTTGCTGTAGTAATTCAGGAGGGGTTAATGGGAGCTTGTACCACAGTGGTTAGTGGTAAGAGGTGAGCAGTAGTAGTTTGGACTCTTGATACACTGTGAAAGTAAATCTCTCTTTTTTTCTTTTTTAATCCTCATTGATTTTAGATAGAGGGGAAGGGAGGGAGAGAGAGGGAGAGAGACATCAGTGCGAGAGAGACCATTGATTGGTTACCTCTCATACCTGTCCCAACTGGAGACCAAACCTGTAACCTAGGCATGTACCTGACTGGTCATTAAACTCACGACCTTTCAGTTTACAGGACACTCCAACTGAGCCACACCAACCAGGGCCAAATATATCCTTTAATGTGGCTTTTAATATCTAATTCTAAAACAAGAATTTTGGACATTTTCCAAAGGGACTATGTAGATCTTCTAAGTTCTTTGCTCATGTTTGTTGAAATAAATGGCTAGTAAATAAAATCACTCACATTGGTTTCCTATTAAAGTCACTTATCTCCAAACTTTAGGAAATGCATACATTAAGAATTTTAAGTATTTTGATATCAAACTATAAAGATCTTCTTGCCCAACCTTTATAATATGCTCAGCTTTTACAGGCAGCTTCACAAACACTGGTAAGGCTATTATAGTAATAGTATTCAGAAACAATAAAAGACAACAGGCGCACGGTTTGTGTTCAGAAAGCACAGGAACAATCCAAGAGCACCTATCTTTCCCTCAGCCCTTCCCTCCTTTCCTCCAATGGGTTACCTTCAATGCAGGCAGGCTGAAGCCATCTGTAAGGTTGTGTGCTTCCTCTTCTGAAATCTGCTCTTCACTAAGTCCAAGTCCCAGCTCCTTAAAAGGCACCACACAGATGTAGTTGGTTACATTGTCACTCTCGGAGTTCAGGGGGTAGGTTAAATTAGGTTAAGGCAATCAACAAAGGCTTTTCATTAAAGCATAAATGGTACATTAAGACTGCCCAACATTACCTTTCCTATTCTGTTTTGAACTTTGACTGGAGGAGATTTACATCATTTGAAAAGAAACTAAAAATCCAATATATTAATATACCTCAGATATTTTACAGAATCCTTGTGAATAAAATACTTCTACGTCTAAAGTTCTAAAATTTCAGTTCTTCACAAATGCTAAAGGGCTAATTTTAGTTATTTTTGACATCTTTTGAAACTGTATTGTATTGTGCACTTTACTGTACCAGGGCTCAGGCACTCACGACCCTACAGGAAACACTTTGCTTTCCTCCCAGGCTGCATGCTGTAGGACATCACTAGCTGACCATTGCCTCAAATGCTGACGTAAGACACACTACACCTGCTCTATCTAGGTCGTTTGACACAGGCTACTGTTCTGTTTTGCTTCCCACTACTGCTTTCTGCTCCTATCCTTCAGTCACCTAGTTTGCCTACCCAAAGACAAAGGCAATCCCTGTTGCCAGTATCTTGTGTTTCCTTCAAGATTTATACATACATACATACATACATACATAAAAGCAAATCCTAATATGTGTGTGTATGTGGAAATGTGTATGTAAGTATACACATGCAGACACATTTATCTCCTCACATGCACATATACACAATCCCTTCTATATACAAATGGAAAGGTAGTATAAACACTGCTCTCTGCACTTTGCTTTTTTCATTTAACAATATATTTTGGAGATCATTCCACAGTAATGCATAAAGAACTTTATCATGTTTTATAGCTGCATATTTTCCCTTGTTTACATATAACTGTTTTCGTATTTAAAGGGAATATTATTTTTTTAAATCACATGTCTAACCTCTTCAGTTTTTCAATTCTTCCTAGGTCAGTTTTAGAGATTTGTCTTTTGATAAGAAATGATTCATTTCCCCCTACATTTTCAAAGTTGCAGCCACAAACTTGCACATATTATCCCCTTAAAATTATTTAAATTTCTTTTGTATGTACGAGTATGTCTATTCTTATTATTAATCTTATATATTTCCACTCTTTTTACTTTGATCAGGCATGCAAGGATTTAAGGTATCTTATTTGTCTTTTCAAAGAAATAGTAGTGGATTCTGTTTCATTTTAATTTCGTAGGGTTTCTTGTGTGGAGATTTGGTCTGGCCCTGCCTACGTCATCTCACCCCGCTCCCAGCTCACTGAGCTCCAGTCGTGGCGGGCTTCTTCCTGCGCTCCAGGCATGCCACCTTTGCTCCGGCCACAAGGTCTTTATCCTCGCTCGTCCATCTAACTGGAACACGACCTTTCTCCTCATTCAATCTGTTCAAATGTCAGCTCCTCAGAGAGGCCTGCCCCACCATCTTACCAAAAGCATCAACCCACCAATCACTATCTTATTCCCCTGAGCTGTTTTATTTCCTGATAGCAAATATCTTAAAATCCTCGGTTTACTTTTTATTATCTCATCCACTAGAAGGCAAGTTCCATGAGAACAGGGATCATGTCTGTCTTGTTCACTGGTAGGTCCCCTGTGTCTAGATAAATGACTGGCGCAGACAACTTACACAGTTTGGGAGCTTTGTTAGGCTACCCCTTCTTGCTCCCCTGCCTATCACTAAATAATCTCCCGAAGCAGGAACTATGTTTATTATGTTGACCACTGTATATTAATGACTAGCATAGTGGTGAGCACTGAGCTCTTACTCAATAAATATTCGCTAAATGAATACCTACTTGCAGTTCACATGCCATACGGTCATAGTTTCTATTTCCATGTTTTTGCTTCCTTCTACTTAGAATGCACACTTACCCTCTTCAGGCCAACTCCTACTAATTCCTTGAGGGTCAGCTCAGGTGCCACTTCACTAAAAGCCTTCTCTGACCCCACAGGCCCAGTTCATTGTCCTACTATGTTGGAAGGCTCACTGGGCACTTACACTATATTATAAATACTGACTTACCTATTGACTACACTCAGAAGTCTTTAAAATTAAGTAAATAGTACAAGTTTTTACTCTGTTCTCCTACCCCATAATAGGCAGGTATTTAGGCAGTGGGGAAACTAAATGGGTAAGTTCTTGACTAAAATGGAAATGCTTTCTTTCACCTTCCAAAGAGGTAGTATAGTACAGTGAATATATGTATATGTATACACAGTGCTAGAATATCCAGCATATAAAAGGTGTAAAGTAGTTTTTATATTCCATTTACTCATGCTTTATGAATCTTAACTAAGATAAAGATCTTATATACTTTTATTTCCTGACTAGCAACTAATTTTTTGATTTAGTAAATTTAAGTGACTGACTCATTGCCTTGTATTCTTTGAGAGCCAGACACTATCTAAGCTCTTTATATGTACTAACTCATTTGATTTCAACAAAAAGTCAAAAAGATTGTTAGTATTGCCATTTTAAAAATAAATAAAGCAAAGAACACAGAGTTAAGAAACTTGCTTATGGTCACCTAGGCAGCAACTGATACACCCAACATTTAAATGTAGCCTATCTGACTCTAGAGCCTCTGTTTTTTGAAAGGGGAAGGATTTCCTGTTGCCAGTTTATTTCCATGGCATGACACAAATTGGCCATGTTCAGTAATTTTAAAAATGTTAGATCCAGCAAAGCCAGACTTAATTCTTTGGACCAGTGAAGGGAGGGACTTCCAGTATTTTCCTGGTTAAAAATGAGCCACATGACAACAGAAGAACTATCTTCCTGTCTGTTATTGTCATTCCCCCTGGAATGCATTTCCAGTTTTAAAATAGAAGTGATGATGGAAATTAGCTTCAAAATAGGCAATCTCAGTTTACATATAACTTTTACAGGATGCAACTATAATATCTATATTCAAGAATCTGGAAACTTTTCTTTTTCTTACTTTTAGACAAAAAAGGATATTTTTTCAACATATATAGGGTAGCTATCCTTGCTGCTTGAAAGTTGGCTCTTACAGTTCTGTAGACAGCTTTCCGAAGGCCGATGAGATGCTGACTGGGATGTTGTCCAGCTTTATTAAATGGGCAAGCAGCACTGACCCTGTCAAGCAAACTTGAAAAGTAAAATGTGATACAACTGTACAGGTGTCCTAAAGTTTTTGTTTCCTAAATCCATAATTTTATTAAGTTTAGAAAAAAAAATTCCTTTTCCATGATTTTCATTAGAAAATGATTATAAGTAATCCCACTCAGGTCTCATAAATAGTCACTTCCCTGATACATATGTAGCCACCAGAGAAAGACAAATGAAAAATTAAAATCTCAAAGTATAAAGGCTTCCTCTAATATGGGGAAACAAAGAATTATAGTTGAAATATAGCAGAAATGTAAGACTATTTATGTAAAAATGACAACTTTTTTATATAGACACTCTACCTGCTAAAATATCCTAAAGTGGTATTACTTTACATTTAGTTTTCAAAACCTTTATTTACAGTATGAAAGTCTTATAAACACTTTCACATTCTTAATATGCATTCACATATGTTCAGCAATCATATTTTGGGCCACTTGTACAGAATAATCAAATACTATACAAAAATGCTTTCTGTACATTCATAAAAGTAGGGTAAAATGACTTACCCACCTGCTGCCACTGGCACTTACCTACTCAAAATGAAGTAGGGGACGCAGAAACATAACAGGACCAGTGGCCAACAGGGGAATGCAAGTAGAAAGGCAAAGTAAGGGTTACTGGGTAGTAGCATAGCTACTCTCAAAACTGTTCAAGAGGAAGCACATTTCATAGCACTTTCCAAACAATAAATGGGGAATACCTATTTGCAACAATGACATATAATACATTATGCTTTTATAAGTGAAACTATAAATAATTATATGTTACACAGTTATTGGAGAATATTTTTCCCATCTAACCAGTAACCTCTCCCAATAGCAAAACAAAATATTGGAATTTATAAATTTCTTACACTATATCCACAAATTTGTAAAACAAGACATCTAACTCAAAACTTTACAAATGTTAAACCAAACTAAAATATATTCAGGCATTAAAAATCTATTTTAAAAAAACAGGACAATGACTGATAGGCTTATTTTACAATGAAAGAATGAAGCAAAGAAGGGTAAAATTATTTGCTACAGAGGACAAATTGAGGCAGAACAAAACAGTACTAATTTTTTTCAACATATGGCACTATTGTTTGTACTCCATTTTATTAACTAAATCGGTTTTAAAAACTAAAAATATTATGATTCAAGATCTATTATTGCTCACAATTTTTTAATCAATCAATTATTCAGTTAGATGAAGACAAGTGAAGTACATGTTCCCCCTCCATTTCTTCTGCCTGTCTGCATCGGGATAGACAGAAGTCATAATCTGGAGGTAAATCTTGTCTAACTGGCCCACTTTAGCTCTTCATGCCTATTCAATACATATGGGTAAAAGGTGGACAATAACAAAAGGCAGTGAATCCTCTATACATGCCTAGGCATTATATAGCTCTTTGCTTAACACATAGCTCTTTGCTTAAACCAGTCAGTCCTCTCAATGAAGTGCTGTGCAAGTCAAGAATGAAAAGCAGCTCTTATTCTTAGTTGATTTTTAACTTTTAAAACCTCACAGTCAAACAACTTAGTATCTGCTATGCTCTATCAAAAAGAAGTGAAGGACGGAAAGACAAAAATTAACAGATACCAAGGACTGTTCCATTTTGACCTGAACAGAAAGATTGGTAATAAAATCTCTTTTATGTCTCAAGATTGTTTAAAATACTGTTTCAGAACACAACAGTGAAGAAGGAGATGACTACTAGACATTCTTCCACTTCCCTGTTTCATGGTCTTTCAAGATACAGCTTTTATGTGAAGATTATTTCAGTACTAATATAGAGAAGAGCTCAGTAAAAGATGTGATGACTACTAAAGGTTCTGCTCCTCCTCATGATTTTCCAGATATAACTACAATTAAGAGCAAAAATTATCCTCACCATATACTTACTTTCTCTCACCTATAGATTGCAAAGCTTGTATGTTATATAATATTAAATATACTACAGTAAAAAGGAATCTTTGTTAGTATTTAGCAGCCAACCTACTCTACTGGAAACAAACTTCAGAGCCAGGTGGTATAGACCTGAACATTTGCTCTACCACTAATAATTGTATGTCTTTAGTTGTATGCAAAATTGCTTAGCCTAGTACATGGAACACAACTGGTGTTCAATACGTATAAATTTCCCTTTAACAATAGAATAAGTAGCCTGTATAACCTGCAGCCTAATACACTTGTAGCTAGACTGGTGGATAATTAATTTCAGTACTAATACAGAGCACCATGGGAATGTGAAACATCATTATTTGCATATTTTGAGAGCATCCATGTCATACTATGTGCTGACATTCACCTAAACAATATTATTAATACATGGCAAGAGTTTTCAAAATGAACTCATGTTATATACATCTATCAATTAAACTGAGGAAAGAGAGCATCTGACAAGGAGTAAAGGAAACAAGCATGTATTGGGTAACTGCATGCTGGATTCAATGGCAGGCTCTCTTTCTACATTACCTCATATAATTACATGGTAACACATAGAAATAATTATGATTCTCAAAGCACTTTGGTTTCTCACAGTAAATAAGCAGAATCATACTACATATTAAATCTAGCAGATATTTATTCTTTCACTGAGCAGTTAATAGACTTTAACAAGTGCTAAAGAGAAATCCACTTTTTTCTATAAATGTACCACAGAAATGAAAATAGGTAATAAATATTCTAATTTAACTATGTAGTAAAAAAGAATTATTTAAAAATAAGACAAAAAATGAACTCACAGTGTAAATCCTCTGGAAATGACTTCAGTTTCTTGAATGAGACGTAAAGCTTTTCTCACAAGATTAGTAAAAGCTCGGCTATTTGTTGCTGTATCTTCCAAACGGACACTGTACCTTTTTAGGGTTATTTGTAGTTTGGCTGTCCTCCATAATCTCAAAGCTCTTATGATCAGATAAACAAATAGAATCACTCCCCACACCAGCCAGGTAGATACAATCCACCAAGTGGGAAGCATAATAAGCAAACTAATGAAAGCAAACAGCATTGAGACATCCCTAGAACAGAGAAACCAAGAAAATAATACCCATCAGACTAGAGAAAGGTGAGTTACCTTATCAGTAAATTAGGTTTACTAAAACAGAAGCTTCTTTGGAACACATGTCTTAAAATATATGACATTTAAAAAACTCGTGTGAAAAAATTTTATAAAATGTTTAAAAAATTTTTTCAATTACAGTTGACATTCAGTATTATTTTATATTAGTTTCAGATATATAGCATGGACTATTACATAATTTATGAAGTGATCCCCCACAATAATTCAAGTACCCACCTGGCACCTACATAATTATTACAAGATTATTGACTATACTCCCTATGCTGTACTTTACACCCCCATGGCTTTTGTAACTACCAATCTGAATTTATTAATCCCTTCATCTTTTTCACCCATTCCCCACAAGACACTTACCACCTGGCAACCATCGGTTTGTTCTCTGTATCTATTAATCTGTTTCTGTTTTGTTTATTTTGGTTTTTAGATTCCACATATAAGTGAAATCATATAGTATTTGTCTCTCTGACTTATTTCACTTAGCACAATACCTTCTAGGTCCATGAATTTTTTTTTAAAGATATGGACTCTTTAATCTAAAAACAAATTATAGATTTAAAAATTCAATTTAAAAAATTTAAAAGTAAAAATAACTTAATTTTTACTACTCTTAATATTAAAATACTTTCTTAATATTCAAATATGAGTCCCTTTTCTCTAAAATCAGACTTTACTTATTTGAACAGAAATATACAGTATCTCAAGAAAATATAAGCATTTTTTCAATTAGAAGTAATATATACTTGGTGAGTGATTGTTTTGAATAAAGTCATCTAATTTTAAATTGTCACCACAAATCTGGAATACACATACTTATATTGCAGACTATAATATGGCCAAGGTTTGTACTTTGACACTGCTTTAACTGAAGTAAAAATGTGTGTAAAATATTTTTACTTAGGTCAATTACAAATCTATAGAATAAAACATATCTTTTAAGCAATGAAGGCTTTGATGAAAATGTGTATACATTAGAAAAAGGTGAAAATAGAGATGTGTCTGAAAAACAACGATACAGTCAAACTTCACAGAAAGTCACATATAAGAGTGCTTAATAAATATTTGCCTGCCCTTATTTCCCATGGCATCCTTTACTTTTAGAACAAACTCTCACCATCTACTTGTATGTAGTAACACAAAAGTCTGTAAGTATTTACAGGCCTCATAGTTGCTTAATCACAATTGTGGCTAAAGAAAACTTGAAAATAAAGTTCTAAAATTCTTAAAACCTATGGTTCCTTTTAGCAGCCCCTTCAGTTCTCATATTTTTACAGGAAATGATGTTTTACTTCATCATGATATCTGAGTGATACATGTTTGGAAAACATCATACTTTGCTATGTTAGAAATAGGAAGCAGTTGTCAGTGTGACAGATAAATTCAGAACACTGAGGCCAATGAATGTAATTGCCTATATAACCTGGAACAGTTTGTGCAATGATTTAGCTCATTTAATAAATCATACTTAACAGGAAGAGTACATGAACAGTTCTGTGTATATATAATCCCTTCTTACCATTCTTCTTTCTTTCTTTTTTTAAAATGGATTATCCTTGGACTTCTTTATTAGATCTAAATATTTGAAGTTGTTGAAAAGTTTTAGGATAGCATAAATCATTAAACTATGTTCCCTATGATCTCTTCTCAGCCAACAAAGCAAGAGGTGACTGTTTATCACCATGTCCCATCCTACCCTTGTCTCTACAATGTGATTATGATATAATCTATTAATTGTAAAGAAACAAAGAACTGGCTAGGCCTGCATGCACATGTGTGCATAAGTATACGGGTAAGACAGATCCTGTTTGGTACGTCATACCTGTTGTTGGGCTGTTAAATTCAGAACTAATAATACTGAGTTGAAAGTGGATTTTTTTCCCAGCTTCACTTTAAATAGTATTTACTTCAGAAACGTACTTCAAAAAAAAAACGCCCCAAAAACCCCTGGCATATAATTAATTACTATGCTACAATGTATGGAATATTTATAATACTTTTACAATAGGGAGCATGATGATGGATTTCGTCCGAAAATACTCTATATGTAAGCAAAGGATAGATGTTTTCTGGACAGTACCAAATATTAGGGATTGCCAGAGAGCGCAGTGTTGGAAGGTGTCCATTTTCCTGTTGTTGAGGTTGCCCTGCAGACAGGATACTGGGATCAAGTAGCTCAATCAGCTCCACATCCTCTTGTAACAGGACTTCCTGTTGCAGGATGGTATGTAGTGAGTCGAGTCGGAATCCAATATCCTTGCCATTAACAGACCAGAAGAAAGGTATTAATGCATACATAATTTTGCATTAAATGCTAAGCTCCTAAAGTGCTAATAAAATTTAGAGGTGTTTATTTTCAGTATAAACTCCAAGAAGAAGAAACAACTGTCCAATCTATCTTGCGTATAATGTATGGTTTCTTTTTCCACTGTAAATGTGAAACAATAAAAACTGAGGTGGTTATTATTGAGCCACCAGATGTGAAATAATAAATTTTTAATAAAAATATGTGATGTAACTACAGATTAATAAGCCTGCCTAGTTAAGCTCAATTAATTAAATGCTGGAACACACATGGAAAATATAACTTGGTAACATAAGATGCTGTCCCTGGATACTGTAACAGTACAACCAGCAGGGTCAAGGCCTTCTAAAAATGAACATTTAGATATTAAAAATACATCATTAAGGAATTTAATGTCAAACCACACTAATGTGTATAGCATTTATAGTTTGCAAAATGCTTTCACATATACCAGCTCATTTATTCCTTCCTTTTTTCCTTCTATACATCTATCAAAAAATATCTTATACGTACCAGGTACCATGCTTGACACCAAAACACAAAAAAAATTGAACAAGACATACAAGTCTCTACTCTTACACAATTCACAGTTTAATGAAGGACTAAAAAGTAAAGAGTTACAACATAATGTGCAAAGAAGTGCAATGAGGTATACCAAGGATATTATGAAAATGCCATAGAGTGACCAAAACTTGCAATTAAGTCAGAGAAAGTAAAAGAGGTAATGCCTGAGCTGAGTCTTAAAGTAGGAACAAGGACCGACCAGATGCAAGAGTTGAAAGAGTCAGATGAGATGGAATAAAAGCTTCTTTAGAACTGCAAGTCATCAATATTAGTTTCATGCAGAGTGTACATGGTAGAGAGGTAAGAGATGAGGTAGCAACGTACAAGTGGACAGGTTATTCTCACAGTAACCCTGTGATGTACATTATTATCCTTCGCTCCACTCTATAAAAGGAGAAAAATGAGGCCCAAAGAAATTAAGTAACTTTCCAGAAGTCTGATTTCAAAGCCTAAGTCTCTGGTAGTTGATTTTTGCTTCACTGTATATATTCTGCTCTACCAGAAAATTTAAGGTTTTATTCTTATATATAATTTAGGAATAGACTTATCCTATTATAAGATAAAAATAAAGAGAACTTTTAAAGGACAAAGTCTTTAGCAATTAAAAGAATAAGGTACAGAATTTGAAAGCAGTGGGTTTGAGCTCCTTAATCATTCCCACACCACAGAGTCCAGCCCTAGCTGCTCATAATGGGGACTTAATAGGAATGCAGTGCTCCATATATCAAAATTGATCATGGGTTATACAGCACTGTTAGAGAAGAAAAACAATACTTTTAATATTAGGCTCATTTTGCCCTGGCTGATGTGGCTCAGTGGATTGAACGCCAGCCTGTGAACCAAAAGGTTGTCGGTTTGATTCCCGGCCAGGGCACATGCCTGGGTTGCAGGCCAGGTTCCCAGTAGCGAGCACTCGAGACACAACCACACATTGATGTTTCTCTTCCTCTCTTTCTCCCTCTCTTCCCCTCCCTAAAAATAAATAAAATCTTAAAAAAAAATTAGGCCTATTTTGATACATTTATTGTGACTTTCTCACCATCTACTGGCACACTCTGCATAGACCTACCTCAGCAGGACTTTTATGTTTCATATTTGAACTGCCTCCTCCTCCTTCTTACAGTCCTGATTCTAACACTGGAAACCACTTAATTATTTGATGTCCCACCCCAATTTCATAGAGAGCAGCACAACTCACTTTGTACTACCTTTGGGTGCAGGGCAGGACGAAGCAACAGGGGTAGGAAGTAGAGCATGGTAGATATTCAAGTAATCTTTGAAATAAACTTCACATATTGGTCTTACTATTTGGTTTGGAATCCCCAATCAGACATGGACACATTCAAATACAAGTATTAAAAAATTAAGCTTTTTTTTTTTTTTTTTACAAATGTTTTAAATCATACATTTTATGAGACCTCTGCATACCTATATATGGGTAAGTTTAAAAAAGCCTTACTACATGAAGGCTAAGGCTCATAGAGAGGAGAAAAGATAGTAACACCAAGAGAGTGTTCCTTCTTCACAGAACCTTTTACAGACATGCTGCTTAATCAGGTACTCACTTTCTTCAACACCATTCCTGGGCATCAGACATATCTCCAAAATTGGGATAATGTGTACCCAAAACCAATGTGCTCTGACACAGTATTAATAGCTTTGGGAATGTCTGATTCAAGAGGGTGACAAACTAATAATCTACAATCATCGACACATGCAAATTAACTTACAAGGTACCAAGACACTCCAAATAATAAAAGTAATATTATCTTAGTTATTAGATTGCCTCTATAAAGGAAGAAGTTGAACTATATTCTGATAATTACAGCCATAAAACTGAGATTAATGAATGAAGTTTTTCTTAAGGATAAATTGTAAAATATTACTCTTTAATTATAAAAATAAGAACTGCAGAAAATATGGAAACCGTGTTGCAATATGGCAATGAAAATACTGGGGAAATAGGTACCTGCTAAATTAAGAAACATGTTACAATAGACCTGTTTGGACTCAGGTCCAAGACACAAACACATGAAATTCAAAAGATAACAATTCCAATGGACTTAAATATTAGTAGATACCATCTGAACAGCTGAGTGCTCTGTGTTGCAGGGAGTTGCACTTTGTGAACTTTGGTTCACCCTCAGCAAGTTTGAATACCACAAACTAATTAGTATCTAGGTTTATATCCTGGTTCAGCAACTTAAGGAGGTGAGTAACCTCTCTGTTCCAGTTTCCTTTTCTTAAATGTAAATTTATTGGTGTGATACTGGTCAATAGGGCCTTGTAAGTTTCAAGTGTACATTTTTATGATACATAATATGTATATCGCATTGTGTGCCCACCACCCAAAGTCTAATCATCTTCTGTCACCGTAGATTTGGCCTCCTTTACCCTTAAATACACCCCACCCTCTCTGTTCCAGTTTCCTCATCTGAAAAATAATTGGTACCAACTTCACAGGGTGGTTGTAAGAATTAGATAAGTTAATATTTGTAAAATACCAAGACTGCATGGTGCACAGTAAACCCTAAATAAGTGTTAGCTGCTAGTGTTGTTAGTACACATGAAATAATTAAAATATAATAAAGAAAAGCATATATAATACAAAAACTTACAGATCATAGCATAGATAATTACTACTAGGTAACTGTAGAAAATAAGAGATCAATGAATGGGCTGAAGTTTCTAGGAAAGGCCTTGGTGAAGGGATAGGACTGCTTATTGAAAAGTCTCCAGTAATAGAAAAATGGAAGGAATTCCACCACAGTAAAATTACACAAACATAGACATACAGAACAGGTATGGATAAAGGAAAAGGAAGACTTAGTTGGCTGATGAAAATATTGGTGGATAAGGCTATAAAGGTAGATTAGGGACAAATTATGCAGACTCTTGATGCTGATGTGATTAACTGGATTTGATATGACAGAAAATAGGGATCTTTTTAGGATCTAAGTAGAAAAAAGGATTTCTGCCTGGGTGGAATGAAAAGGAATGAAAAGCACAGCTAAAGAATAAAGAGACTTCTATTTTTGTCCCTAGGGATGGAGAAGGGAACGAATTATTCATGTGTCGATACACTTCAATGATCTTACACACTTTTTAATGTATAATACCATTTCATAAAGCTGATGAGGATCAAATGAGATAACATGTGAGAGCACTTTATAGGCTAAAAAGTGCTTTAAAAGTGCTAATATCACTGTTACCATAGTTGCTATAAAGGACTTTTTTTAATCTTTAAGGATAAAAGTACTACTGTAATAAAAATGAACAATGGGAAAATGTTCCCATATCACGGAGCAATTGCCAGTTTGATAGCTGTATAGCTAACAAAATTTCAAATATGTTTCAAACCAAGCAATCTCATGCCAGAAGCCAACTGGGCAATGCCTTGTTCCATCACCAGTAAACTATTTCTTAGGTATGTGCTTCCTACAATTCTCCACAATATAAGCACAGAGGGATACATATAGAAACTGGCACTTTATAGTGAAGCACAGCATTAAACATGTGGCCAGTGACAAAGAACCAAGAATGAAAAGATCAGGACTATACAAACTATGATTAAACCATAGAAAAATGTATGTGGATCCGTATACCTTACCATAGTCCTAGTATCACTGAAGAAGGAGAATGGCTCCCCCTGGAGAAAGCTGATATTCTATGTAGATGACAAGATACTTCACTGACCTTTTCAACACACCTATAAAGATGAAACCCTGAACAGAGAACTTGCCCTTTTGGATTGCTAAGACAGTAATTTTAGTCAGTCGAAACATAATACTCAAAGCAGAAAGGTAGTACATTGTAATAAAGAGTGTGGGCTTTGAAATCCAGGAGATCTGAATACAAATTTCGACTCCACCATTTTCTAGCTGAACACTCTTGAACAGTTCACTTAGGTATTCTTAAACCAAACTGAGCTGTCTGAACTTCAAGATTTCCAACAAGTAAAATGCACCAAACCTTACAGTGTTTAGATTACCAAATCAAAATGTAAAAGCACTTTGTAAACATTTCTTTATAAACAATAATTTATGAAAATACTATTATCTTATTAGTTGGGGTCACAGGCCAGCAGAAGATCCTGAAAACCTGCTTACTTGTAACCTGCTTACTCCTACTGAGAACCATGAGAAGAACACCATAACTTCAATTTTGTATTGTTATGCTGTAAAAACTTAAAGTACTACTCGCTCTTGGGGGTCAAGAGGTCAAACAAGATATACTGCAGCAGCGAGAAGTAAAAAACCAACCTTTACAGGAATCGCAAAGACTCCATGTTGACTATTCCAAGTCTTTGGAAAATTCTGTGATTTACCAGTCCCAGAAGACCAAATTTTACATATGAAGTTGTCAGAGAATGGTAAATAAATTAATAAAATAAATCTGAAGCTGTTAGACTAATGATATATAAATTAGGGAGGAACCACTTTTGATTTTTTTTTTTTTGCCCAAACTTTGTAATCATTGGATGTGGGATAAGGATAGAGACAGTCAAGTTCCCAATGAAAAAGGGAGAAGATCCCATTAATGGATATATTCCTATTCCCTTCCCTACTGACAGAAATAGCTGCCAATGGAGGAAGATGGCAGCAGGAAATTAGTAATCTAACAAATAAAGTTTCAATAACTACCAGACTACTTTATTCTAAGTGGCTAATAACCTCTTAGAACTATGAAATAATACTATTGAGTCCAAATTTAAAGATCCCCAGTTATTGAAGAATTTTTTTTTTTTGGGTGATAGAAACAACTCTATTTAAAAATTCATAAAGTGGAGTGCCTCCTTTTGAAGAACTGCCCAGAATTTCTAATCAAAATCAGTCACTGCCCAAATCAGTAGTAAGACAAATTCTGATTCGTTAACTCTCTCATTAATAAACTAGAGCTCTGAAAATTGACAAAAAAGGTAAAAAGAACACTTACCAATTTATGAAGTAAGTCATCTTTCTTATTGCACTGAGAAAAAATCCAGCTTTTGATGGTTTCAGCCACTTTTAACAGAATGCCTTGCTGGAGGAGATGAATGACATTGTACAGGATCATTAAACCACACCCAGGCAACAGAAACACATCAAATCACTTATGTCTAATTAATCACAATTTTTATCAGGAAAATGGAGAAAATCATCCAGATTATATGCTTTGTCAGTATCTCTCAGCCTCCTTATTAGTTCCCAAATTTACTTGTACATCAAAATCACCTGGATTGTATTTTAGTTAGAAACATATGCCTGAGCATCCAAACTAAAGGTTTAGATTCAGTAAGTTTGGAATAAGACCTGAAAATGTGATTTTCAATAAGCAGTCAAAAGTCATTCTGATGCAGCCCATTTATCTTGGGTACAATAAACTATCTATGTCAAGATGATGATGGTATATATTTCAGATGAAAACCATAGGGTTCTCTCCAAGTTCTCAGATATTAAGAACATTTCATTCCATAATACTAAGGCAGAAAGAAAATTTAATTTTAGAAAAACCATCTCATTGAAATAAAAAGTATATTACTGAATCACTCGAAAATTCAATATACTTTAACAGTCCATTTCCTAAGCATGCCAGGAAATGGAGTTTACATTCACTGAGTGATCACTATATCCCAGGTATTGAAAAAGGGTTATGGGAACAGAGATGAATACATGTAACTGTTGTTAAGAACTTAGTACAGAAGAGACAGTACAACTAATTACAAACCAATGTATAGTCTGAAAAAGTGTGGAAAAAGAAGAGGCCAAGAGGAGCTAACACTGGAACTAAACCCTCACAGATGAGTAGAAATTTAACAAAGGAGGTTATAATACTCAGGCAAGGGAACAGGAGGATTACAGGACAGAGCCATGGAAGAACACGCTGTGGGGCTGGTGGCATAGTTTGGGACAGCTGAGACTTGAGGGGATTGTAATAAACTTAAAAAAGTACACTCAGACAGGTTTTAAAGAACTTTGGTCTCATATGCCACCATACTTTAGATTTTACCCTGTAGGCTGTAAGGAGTCACCTAACATTTTTATGTAAGAGCGAAACAACAACAACAACAAATCAGCATTTTAGAAAAAAACTAGCAATAGTGCAGAGGCTGTACTGGCAGGGCATGACTGTAGCCAGTTAAATAATATCCATATATAGGCCTGTACTAGGATAGAAAAATGGTAATGATTAGGGTTAGATTTTAGAGACACAGAAACTGATGTATCATTCTGTGACCAAATCAATGAGGGAGTGGTGGGAAGTTGTAAGATAACTAAGAGGGTAGTAATTTGAAATGTATAAAAAAACTTTGTGGGGTGCTAAGGAAAGAAGCTATAGTTCTAGATATGTTAAATCTGGGGCTTCCTGGGGCACAGGTAGGTGGAAATGTCTAACATCTGGGGCTCCGTGAAGATGGAGAATGGACATGAATAGCCAGTGAAAGCAAGAGAGTAGAGGGGGGTCTCTCAGAGAAAACAGACCAAGCAGAGAAGAGGACTGATGTTAAACTTTACAGAGGGAACATTTAAGAGTAAACACAGGAAATGCATCTATTTGACAGACCTGAAGCAGTTACTGTCTGCTAATCACTAAGGTTTTAGTGCAGATGCAAAAAAAAGAAAAAGAAAAAAAAGGGTTCTCAGGAGTTTTGTCTGATTGTGGCAGCCAAGATTGCATGGAGGAATACTGGGAAAAACATGGAGTCTCTGCAACTCAGAAATAACCTTGTAATCAGTAAACAGCCTATTTTACTTCAAAGAAGAATCTTAAGTATGCGTTTATAAGAGAAGTGTTGAAAAATGATTATCCTGCACTTTTGCCTTCTGATTGATTCCACTTCCAAAAGCTTAAGGATTAAAACTACTTAGAGGCAGGCCAGTGATTCTTTAAAAAAATCATCATCATCATCATCATCATCATCACAGGGAAAGAAACCAGAAAAATATGTAGACAATAAATATATTCATGGTGAGAAAACCAGTAGACTACTCAGTAAGCACTTAAAAATCACATTAAAAAATCAAGTTATAAAAGGGTATTAGTGCTAAGGACCATTTCATTATGAATTCATATTATACAAAAAAAATTTTGCTTTCCAAAGAAACTTCAAAGTTTGAACAGAATTTTGAGGGCAATTCTAAAAATATATCCACTGAGAAGGAACTAAATAGTATAGTAATTTTCTAAAATTTAGTTGCCCCAGATTTAGAAAAACTCTCTTTTAGAAAAATATAGCTCATACAGCTGAATTATGTAAGAAGAAGACTAAACAAACTTTCTAGACATGTGGTAATTTTGAAAAACACTCTCTGGCTATGCTTTTTACTGTTCCTTGATTTTTGAGGGGATGAAATTTTAAACTCTTATTTTATTTATTTATAAATTAATAGCAGCATTTCTACACGTAAAAATACTTGTCATAAATGAAAAGACTGAACATCTATAAAACACAGATTTGTGCCCCCACACTCTTACCCCCGCACCTCCGCGCTCCCCCCCCCGCCCCCCCCCCAGGCAGCGTGCATGCTCTGCCTCAAGATTATCCCTTGGGTCTTTGTCTTTTTTCACCAAGTAATTGCAAATACAAGTTTTAATTTATAAATAATCTATCAAATATATCTTTAGGTTTTCCTTTCAAAACTCTTCCCAGGGACATTCATATTTGAAAAGGGCAAGGAAAAGGAAGGATTTAAGTACAGAGGACAGTAAACTGGCTCTGAACCATGTGAGCTCTAACTCCCCAACTCTCATCCTGTGGGTGTTAGTCATAAACAATAAAGAAAACAAAAAAACCCCCAAACCATTTCTCTGGTATTTAATCTGCTGTTGCAAATGAGCCCAGCTTGGTTACCTCACATTTTAGGATTTTTCAAAGAATAACAGGAGAAAAGACCTCCATCACCACAGAGTAAATGAGTAATTGAAAACTTTCAAAGCCATTTCCTGAAAATAACTGAGTCTTGTAATAAAACATTGATTAACTAGACTTAGCTCAAAAAATTAAGTAATCTGGCTATACTTCTTACTAAATTTGAATTCTGTGTATTAAAAATGAAATGTACTAGAATATTTTCTATTTTAATATATCTAAGAAAACAGAAATGAATGTATTAGGCTAATAAACTTTATAGAACATAATTAATTGAGATTGTTCTAGTATCCTAGCTTCATAATGCTGTACATCAATTGTGAGGTATATAAAAGTACATAATACTGCAGACATAAAGGGGATCAGAAATTGAGGTATCCTTGAAACTATTTATGAAATATCAATTTGCTTCTTATAATTTGTGCTCTTTTAAGAAATATATTTAAAGAAAAAATATTTCCAGTCAATATATGAGTCCTAGAAGTTGGGTTCTCTATTAAGGTTTTAGTACACTTCTCTGGTCCTCTCTAGATAACTTCAATATTTAAATAAATAATATATTTTGATCTTCAACCATGTTCATTTCCATTTACTATACAAATCACCCATGAAATAGTCCAACACAGCAAGGATTCATGTTTATTTAAACAGGCAGTTTTGTACTACTGATGAATAAAAAATAAAGTCTTACCAGTGACTGGGAGGACATGGAGATTTTTTTGTTTTTGTTTTTTGTAAGGTAAAGAACAAAAGATTAAGTCATAGAGAATGAGAATGTTTTCTTACTTTTGGCAGGGTTCTTACAGGTTTTTCTTGTCCCTCTGTCACTGAGCATTTTTCTGGTTTTGGTGACAGAGAAGAACATATTTCAAAGTCCGTGTGTCCCAAATCCTGTAAGTACTGGTAGAGTGGAGAATTCTGATAGAGACATAAAATAAAACAAATTTTAACACCATCATCATTTCAAGTTTTAGAGGCCAAATTCAATAACCAAACTTCACTACCGTGATCAGTATGCCCAAACTCTTTAAGGCTTAATCTATAAAGAGCTGAATTATGCCACAATGCTAAAATAGCAACTAACAGTTTAATAGAGGGACCCAAAAAAGGGGAAAACTCTAAATAAAACACACCGATATTTCTGAGTGAGTACCACTAAGGAAAAAATTAATTTAGGAATATAATAGATTTGTTAAGAAAATACTTTGCCCAAATTTTTGTGCTGGCTATAGATAGCTCCTAAGAGGACCTAAAGTGAAAAAGTTATTAATTGAAGCCAAGAAAAATTAGGCAACGATTGTACTGATTTAATAATAATTTACCATACTATCATATTCATTGATTCAATCAAGCACAACTATACATTATTATATTATAGATAATACATATAATACACAGCACTGAAAGAAAAAAACTCCAAGAAAGTTACCTAAGATAAGCTCATGTACAAGCACATGGCAAATGAAAGACAGTGTGTCTAATAAAAGCATTAGAACATAGTGGTTAAAGACAAACTCTGGAGCTAGACTACAGGTTCAAATTCCAACTCTGCCTCTTACTAGCTGGGTAACTATGGCAATTTATAATCCTTTCATGCTTCAGCTGTTTCAACTAAAGATAGCGACAATAATACCTAGTTCATAAATATAAAGCACGTAGAACAGTCCCTGACACAGAGTAAGCACTCAATTTATACTTTACATAAGCTTTGTGAAAAGAGAGCAGGTTTTGGAAAAAATGAAAAAAAAAATATCACCCCAATCCCATCAAAAAGAAATATCACTACTGCTATTGTATGAAAATCTATGAGACAACTCTTTCTGGATAAACTGCAAGCTTTAATTTTAACTTTTAGCCTTCTCTTAAGTACAAGGTTGGTGACATGTTTGAAAATAAATCTTGATTCCACTCAACCAGATATTTAATATTTAAAATCACCAACCACCACCAAAACAAAGAGCAACACAGCTGCCATAGTACTATGTCGCAAAAGCTTAACTAAGCATTTTACATGCATGATCTCAGTTAAGGTTCACAGCAAACTATTAAAAGGTATCATCATCATCATCATCACTATTGTTATTCCCATTTCACTGTTTAGGAAACAGATTCACTCAGCTAAACAAATCACGATACATCTAATCCCAAAGCCAACCTCTGAAATATACCATAGTACCTAAAATTAGAGTCCCTTCTGTGTCTAAAGAGGAAGACACCAAAGCTTACTTACACTTGAGTGCAAAGATATCAAGCAAATGAATAATTACGGGAGTATACTAGTTGCTATGAAAACAGAGGAACACCTAAATTAGACCAACACTTTCAGGAAACATATCCTTGAGCTTGGAAAAATGAGGAAGAGTGAGAATTTGCTGGACTGGTAGCATTTTAATTACTCTCAATTTAAGAGAGCAAGAAGATGAGTAAAAATGCCTTCTTTTTGCAACTATGTTTAATCTCTTTTGAGAAAAATATGTAAAAAACATTATAAGGAGGATACCTTTATCAGATTTAAAATCTCTGGTGGCACAAATGGTTAATCTTTACATCACCCGTAATGGATCTTCAAATATTGCCTTCAATTACTCAATCTGTATTTTCAAACTGAACTGTGAGCCATCAGTGTGGCAAAAGAAAAAGAATGTTAGTTCATTTGGGCTGACCTTTGGAAAAGTTTACATACTTTAAAAAAAACCAAACTTGTTTTTAAGGCAGTAGAATATTTTCTTCAGATGAACTCCCATGGGGAAGAACAATAAATAAGATGGATCAAAGTGGAGTTATACTGTTTTTATAACAGGCCAGATAGTAAATATTTTAGGCTTTGCAGGCCATATGGCCTGTGTCTCAACTCGGCTGCTAGTGTGAAAAGCAGCCATAGATGATACAAAAACCAATGAGTGCCGTTACGTTCTAATAAAACTTTATTTATGAAAATATTTAACTTCTTAAAATTTTCATGTGTCACAAAATACCATTCTTTTGATTTTTTTTACCTAACCACTTAAAAACGTAAAAACCATCCTTACTCACCAGTCATATAAACACAGGCATGGAAGAGGGAACAGATCTGACCCAATAGTATTAGTTTGCTGACTCCTGTTCTAATTAAGGACTTGGTCGAACTAACAAACTAATGAGGCACACTCAAGTGCGAACTATTCTCCGGGAAAAGGACTGGGGAGTGGGAATGGGACCAAATTTCTTTTTATTCAAATTGTAATGTTGTATCAGCACTGGCCCCAATGTCCCTTCCTTTTCCAGTTTATGTTACAGTTCACAAAATAACCAAATGAAGTATCTGTAATATTGATTTTTTAGAGGGAGGAGGGAGTGACTATACACAAGAGAAACAATGAATACTTTGTTTTCCATGTACAGAGGTGGGCAAATTAGGTTACAGTTGTAATACAAATAAATAATACAATAATTAATAAGTAATAATACAAGAATAAACTGTGTTCCTTGTACTCACAACTGTAAATCTACTTTTGTCCCCACCCTGTATGTGTTGCATATCAACTAAGCATACATACTCAGTTTGAATCACCATAATCTAGAACATCTGCTATTGCGTATTTCACAAAAATATTATAACTGTTTATCCTGTATGCTAGTAGTAATGTTCAATTGTGTCATTTCACACAGTAATTCTACCAGTAATTTATTCTCCTGTTTTTCTGAATGTAAAACTTTTAAACGTTTGGCTGGTTTTATAACCTTCTTGTCAAAGTCATGACATACCCATTTGTGCTCTTCAACTATGAACGATACCTTAATAGTTCTGGTTTGTCATTCATCGTTAGTGACAGAATTCATCACTTTCATCCTAGAAAGCACTGTTTTACAGTTCTGGAAAATTCTGGTTTGCCACGGACCATCACAGTGCTTTGTTTCATGGCTTTAATGTAACTATTTGACAAAATTTCAGAGAAGACAACCTTTGGAGACTGGGGATTGGAGGCACTGCAGGTTCAATAAAATGTAATTCTAGTCATCATCATATTTCATACAAGCACTTTTGTCTTTTTGTCTTTAATGCAAATCCTATCATTTTCTAACATATAAACTTGGACTGAATGAACACCAACACTCTATTGATTATATTTATGATGGTATTCTGAGTTGTAGCATTTTATTGTTTTATTTCTATTTTTATGCTTTCAGCCAGAGGAAATTTAAAAGTTAACCAATGACAACACAAAGGAAAAACAAACAATCCTTGGTTTGTAAACTGAACATTAGCCAAGATGAACTGACCAGGACAGACCTTGTGGCACATGAGCAACTTTGAAGAATACAAAGGGGCTTATTGTAAAATTATTATTTTATACTTTAAAAATGTGCTTGGAGAATAAATTACTATCACTTTCCCCCTGAAACTGCCAAATAATCTGTGTATTATTTGACAGATCTCAGAAAACCACATCATGACCAGCGGTTCTTAAAGTTTTTGGTCTCCAGGCTTCTTTGTGGTCTTATAAATTATTGAGAGCCCCAAAGACCATTTGTTTATGTGGCTATTGATATGTATATTAAAAACTCAAACAAAAATTAAAAATAGTTATTTAAAATAACAATAAATGCAAATACAGGGGTGGGGAAAGGTTTGCAGTTGTTCGTATGGAAAATAGTACAATAATCAATAAATAATAATACAAGAATAAACTGTTTTGTGTACTCACAACTGTAAACCTACTTCTGCCAACCCCTATATTAATGTTAATAATTTTAATGAAAAGTATTTTTTTTCCCAAAATTAAAAGAATTGAGAAGAGCAAATTGTTTTAGATTTTTGCAAATCTCTTTATTGTCTGGCTTAATAGGAAATAGCTGGATTCTTATATTTGCTTCTGCACTCTGTTGCAACTTATTGTCTTGGATGAAGTATATAAAGAAAATCAGGCCTTGATCAGATAAATAGTTTGAAAGGTAGTATTTTAATAGTCTTTTCTGATAATTGTATTATCAAAGAATAGCCATAATAAAACTCAACAAGTGATAGTTTTGAGTTTTGAAAAGATTAATTTTAATGTGCAATATGAAACCCTATTGATGAGCTTTTCCTCCTCTGTACATGCACAGGAGAACGAGAATAAAAAAGGCAGCTAATGTCTTAGTATTAAAACTTGATCGCCCAATATAAAATAATTTATTTTTTCTTCTACACAAGGTGAGGCTCCTTATTGCAATGGCCTTTATCACTATATTTGAAGGTTTTTGGCTAATATGTAGAAATTTCTATGTTTCATATAGTGGGCATCATTACAGGTTGATGGTAGTTTTAATAAGGGGCTTTTTTTGTGTGTGTGGAGGGTGAGGCAGAGTAGGTGGTGATAGGTAATTTTCTGTATTATAATTTTTTTTCCCCTTGGTTCAAGCAAAATAGAACCACAAATGTTTCAGTTAAGTTGTTTTCTTGAAAAGAAATTATCAGCACTGAACTCAAAGTATAATTTTATAGTATTGAACAATGTTACTGCTGCCAAAAGAAATATGAAGAACCTCAGACACAGCATGTGGGAGCTTCTCCTCAGGAAATCCTTGCGGTTAATGATTCCTGTAAATTTCAGCTGACAGAAAACACACATCATAGTACCAGAAAGAATTTTGCTAAACGAATGACAGCCAAGAGTTTTTGGTTGTGCCAAGATTGTTCTGATGGTTGAAACATTTTTTGTAAGAAAAATAAACAAAAACAGACAGGAAATCCCAACATTTTTGTTGAACAAGGATTTCAAGAAACTGACTCATTTAAATCCTAAACTACCTGTACTCCATGCTCCCCATTAAAGATAGCAGACCCCACACTAATGGATATATAAAGTCTGAACCACTCTAATGCATTGCTTTTTTTTCTCTATGATTTATGGTACCTTCTGCAGAAGTGCCAATACCTTTATTGTTGGTTTGCATTTAAGAAGGAAGATTAAGTAGTGTAGAAATGGAAGTGATGGGTTAATGCTTTTATGATTAGGTTCCTTCTTCTAAACTGCTTTAAACCCTTACAGATAGAACAAGCTGTCACCTTTCAGTTTTTAGCCCAGGGAGGGAAGAATAGGCCAAATGTGGAAGAATTGGGCTGCCCATTCAATAATAAATAATAACTGAACCTTCTCTGTGCCAGGCAATATCTAGGCACAGGGGAGAAAACAAAATAAAACAGGTTAGGTCCTTGCTAAAAAGTTTCACTTTATGATTCTTCCAATAAGACTATGGTATACCCAGCTATCAATAGTACCAAGGAAAATAGTGAATGATCTGATACTTTTCGGGTAGGCCACTAATGTTTCAGGAAAATCCTCTCTTGGTCTCAGCTTTGTTAAGTACAAAATAAGAATGCTATAGGATACTTAAACTTCTTCAGGGGGTAAAACAAAACTCATGATGTTCTCTGAAAGACAAGATAAAAAAAATTGGTATGTTCAAATACCAAATTCTGTGCTAAATCAAATGCCATGTTATCCTATACAGTCAGCCAAATTCAAAATATGGAAAGTGTAAAGGTCAAATTACCCAGTTTCTTCAACAAATAAATGATATAATAAATTTGGAGAAGGTAGAGAAAACTGTTAAAGACTAAAGGGATATTTCATCCAAATGTGACATAAGGATTTTGTTTGGATGCTGGTTTGAAAAATTATAAGAAGAAATTTTTTGATATACTTGAGGAAATCCAAACATAGCCAAAGTATCACACGATATTAGGGAATTACTATTCATTTTATTAGGTAATGTAATTGTGTCTTTTTGGTTTCTTAAGAAAGAGTATTTAACAGTTAGAAATGTACACTGAAGTATTTACAGGTGAAATTAGTTAACGTCTGAGATTTGCTTTAAAATACTCCAAGAAAAGAGGTGAGGGTGAAAGAGGAACAGATGATCCTTTCGGCAAAATTTCAACAGCTTCTGAAGCTGGGTGAGGGTACCCGGAACTTTCATTGTATTATTCTCTCTTCTCGTGTATAACTTTTAAAGCCCATTACAAAGTTTTAAAAAAATCAGACATTAGGTTGCCTAGTCTGGTATAAAAGATTTAAGATAATAATATGGCAGAAAAATATAAAATTTAGAAAATTCAACTTATGACTTTAATCTGGGAAAAAGATAAGCTTATTAAACTTTAAAATACTCAAGTCTTTGCAAACTTCCATATAATGGTAGTGGTACTTTGCATATCTACTGAAGAGAATATGGCAAAAAGCATCAGCTACTGTAACGTGCACATGATGTTTTATGTATTTATAAAAAATATTCAGACAACATTGGGTAAATATTTGGATTTGCAAAGTTCCTGCAACAATGCCCAGGCTGCTCAATATTCCCACTGAGGACAAGAAATGAAAAAGTAACAAGATTTCAAGCGAGTAGGCTTAGTGGAAGTACAAATAAATGGCTATTACCTGTCAATGTCAATCATTCATATTGACCTTCCACGTAGTAATGTAAAGTTTCTGAAATTAAATAATTCTCAATTTATGTGATTTTTGGAGCCATGCCTTTCCCCTGCCCCCAGGTTGGTATCACAGTATTTGTACTTTTACTTTTTACCTTTTATTTATTTATTTATATTGTATTTTTTCGCCTTACCATTGATCCCTCCACACCCTCTTCCAACTCTACTGAACTCTCTTCCCCTGGAGCCA